TTGTTTTCCCGTTTATCAGTTGATAGTTAAATTGTGTCTACCTTTTGGTTGTGTGATGACTGCTATAACTACATTTGTCCACTTTTCAGCTCTCTTGGTTACATCCCTGGGAATAGAATTGCTAAGTCATATGGTAACTGTTGGTATTTTATCTATATATGGCTTGGTCTGGACTGGAACTGGTGATTGTCTCACCTCAGTCTCTGGAGTGCTGAGATTAGCGACTCTCCCAGTTTATGTTGAACTTTCTGAGGAACTGCTTTCCTCTCTGGTGACACCACTTTATATTCCTAGCCGGAATCTAGGAAGGAATTTATAATTTTCTAAACTGGTTGCATGTAGTTCTTAAAAGAATTCATAATTCTGCCACCCCCCCTAGAACAAGGGCTCATCTCACATCTATTTATTTATGTATTTTATGACAGGGTCTCATGTATCCTAGGCTGTACTCTATCTCACCTGTGTAGCTGAGGATGACCTTGAACTTCTGAGTGTTGGGATTACAGACATGCATCATCGTGCTTGGTTTATATGGTGCTAGGGATTGCATTTAGGGCTTAGTGTATGCTGGGCAAGCTCAGTCTCCTAACTGAGCTCAGGCATTCTGCTAATTGAGCTACACCCCCAGCCTCCTCATTTCACCTCTGAAACCACAGTTTCACTTGAGTCATTTTCAGCTTTAGACCTCAGATGTATTGGTGTCAGTGGTGGGATATTTAAGCCATAGACCCAAATAACTGAAGCTGGCCCCTAAAGAACTGAAGTCAAGTAGGCTTCTTGAGTGTGGGGCTAGGCTGGTGTATGGTTTGTGACAGCAGAAAAGACAGTGAAAAAAGTCTTGAGAATCAGTTTCTCTGGAATTGCCACTAATATGTACAGTCATAATTTAATTGACATGTGGTAATTTCTAACCTCCAACTAACTCATAAATGCAACTACTACTAAGTACTTGCACACCAGTAATTTCCATTACAGTGTTTTCTTGGCCATTTATATATATATAACTAAAGTGAAGATTCAGTGTGCTAAGAGGTATAATCTTGCCTTGGCCATATTATGGGTTTTCTGAATTGGGCTCTAGATTGAGAACTGCATTCTCAAGATAGTCATTTTCTTCCCAAATTAACATTTTCCCCTTTACTTTTGAGCTTGTTGCTTCTAATCTTGCTAACTGTATGTGTGGAGGTAGGGGTCGATAGATACAACTCTAAAGTGGTTACCTCAGCTTCTGAGTAACAGCTTCTGTTAGCTCATTGTGGGTTAGAAAATTCTGACCTCAAGGGGGAAGTAAAATCTAGCTGTAGAACATAAACATCTCAGTCTTGGCACACACAAAAGGGGTATGTACTCTCTTTCCTCCTGTGCTCCTTCTCTTGGAAAGTGATGTCGTGATTCAAACAAGTCATCAGCTCTGATTCTGATAGGTGGTCACCTCTGTTTCTTCAGTCATGTTATTTTCAACTAAACTGTCACTAAGTCCTGCCAGTTTCACATCATAAATGTTCCCTTTTCATCCCCTTGCTGCTGTGTTGAGCACTCAAGTTCTGCGCTTAAATCAGGCCCCACTTTATTTATTTTTCTGTTGTTACCCATGACATCTGCAGATTTGACAGTAAGGTAATTTACAAAACTCATACACCCCCACACACTTAAAGTTAGTTGTGATTCACTCAAAGTCCTGTCCATTGCCTGTTTCAGAATCAAGTTCATGTTCTTTAGCCTTATAAACTTGCCGCCTAGGGTGTGCCTGTCGGTCATGATCCTTATTTCCTGCTACTGTCCTGTTTTGTATCTTATATCTACTTTCTGACCTGGATTAGACCAAGGAGGGAGAAAAGGTTTATTGTGTTTTTTCTTTTCAAGCAGAGCGGGGTCCTTGCATTGATTGATATAGTACTCGCACCCCTGCTGTCCATCTCCCCTGTCAGCTGAGGAATCTTTGAGTCAAGCTAAGGAACTCTAGGAAGCAATCCACTGAAGCCTTTGAGTGTTCATGCTATGGTTCTATACTTAAGACTATGGTTTGCTTAGCATCACCTAAGGATGGGAATGTTGTTCTTTGTTGACCCACCCCCAACTGCTTAATGCCTGACGTTGCATGGAGAACAGAGGCCTCCAACCCTCAAGTCACTTAATTCAGAAAATAACTTCCTGTGTTGTTTACATATTCTTTATAACTGAATTGTGTTTAAAAACTTTGGTGGGGCTGGAGAGATGGCTCAGTGGTTAAGAGCACCCCTACGTGGCTGTTAACAATCATTCATGACTCCAGTTCCAGGGGTCTGACCTCTGTGGGCATTGCATGACATGAATATACTTACACACATGCAGCAACACACTCATATACATAAAGTAAAAATAATAAATAAAAATTATTTTTAAAAAAATAACAAAAAAATTGTCCTAAACACTTAAAAAATGGGATTCCTGGATCAAGTCTGGTATGGTGATACCTTATTCCCAGCACTTAGGAGGCAGACTTCTATGAGATCGAGGCCAGCCTAATCCACATAGCGAGTTCTAGGCCAGCTAGGGCTACAGGGAGAAAGAAATGGGATTCTTGGTGCCGTACTGCAGGGAACTATCTTTGTAAAACTTATTATTCAAGTAGGCAGTAGAGAATTGTAAGTGAATCTTCACAATGTTCCATGAAAGTCATCAAGTGCTTTTTTTTTTTTTCATGTGAATTGGTTAGCTAGCCAGTTCTGGCCTCAAGCGTGTCCTGTTCCTTCGTTGCTACAGAAGTAAGTTTTATAACCATCATGACTCACTTGTGAATACCCTGTGTGGTTATGATGGAAACTCAGAGTCAGAATCTGACCAAATGAAGGTATTAAGTCTTTCCAAGTCAATACTATGACTATATCGAAAAGATGATAGGAGGAACAGGAAAAATAAACATGTGACAGGAAATGTCCCCAAGACTGGTGATTTGTTAGAAAAAGTCATGACACTCAGCATGTAATGCTACTTTTAGTAAGAGATATTACAGCACTGTGGGGTGAAGTCCCTAGGAAACCAAGTGCAGTATTCTAGAGTTCCCCTGCCATTAGAGCCCCACAAGACAGCCTTAATTCCTCTAGCAGTGAGCATTGTTATGGTACATAGGAAATGTCTGTCAGGGAAGCTCCTTAGAAGCACAGTGCTTGGTTTTCTTTAGGACTTGTTAAATAGGCACCATTAAGCTTAGTCTTTGTCAGACTATCAGAAGGAAAGGTGTTTGTCATAAATCACATTGTTTATACAAACAGTTTAGGCACAAGGAACCACTTTTAGCACATAAGGAATGTTTTATGTCAGTGCAGGGAACTGTGCAACAGCCACTTAGGAGATGCCGGCCACAGAACAACCGTGCACATATGCCTTTCTAACCAAGGGTGGGTGGTCCTTAGGAAGGACTTACATTAATTCCTTTCCACACACTGTTCCTCGTAATTCATTGTGCAGGGTCCCTTGTGAAATTTGCCTTTTCTCTCTGTGTATGTGTGTGTGTGCATGCGTGCATGTGTGTTTAGTATGTGCATATGTGTTTGTGTGTGCACATGTGTGTACAGATGCACATGTGTGCATGTGGAGGAGACCAGTGGTTGATGTTGGGTGTCTTCCTTTAAGACAGGATCTTTCTCCTATTTCTGTATATACAGGATATCTTGATGCACCATAGTTTATCCAATGCTCTATAGATGAGCACTTGAGTTATTTCTTTTTTTTTCCTCCTATAAATAATGCTGCAGTGAGTAAGTAGCCTTCAACTATGCAGCTACAGAAAATTCTCAGAAGTAAACGTTGAATCCAGAGTGCTAAATTGACTTTTACAGATTTTTGTATTATTTTGACAATCTAACAATGTAAAAGAGAAATTGAAGCAGAATTTGTCCAAAGTCACAAGACTAACCAGTGATGGGACTGGACCAGTGACTTGGTTGAAAATTTGGTCTTTTCAACCGATAGTAGTGGAGTTGCTGTCTTAAAGTTAACAACATAGAGGTAAAATATAAAAGTTATCAGATAAAGGTGTTTTAAAGGATACCTCTGTTAGCTTTAGGAGAGCAGAAAAAGGAAGGAGTTCAAAGTTATGAAATAAGAACCAGAGGCAGACCTGCAACAGGCAGGGAATGTGTCCTCTTTAATTCAGGAGAACATAGCAAAGGGCCAGTGTCCTGTCTGTGCGTACTGACATCAGCAGACATTAGCAGAGCAATCTGGTTTTATATAGGGACTCTGCCGAACACAGCTGTAGGAATTTGCTCGGTGTCAGGTGTCAGTATCCTTGGAGTACTTGAAGGTCTCCTTCCTGAGGCTTTTTTCTCAGGATGAGCAGTCAGTTGTCTTTTGGCACAGCAGGCTGACTCTGCAAACAGTCTCTGTAGTGATCAGTTGATAAGGCCAAGCTGCCAGAGCAGGCTATGGCACGGCAGGAGTTAAGTGCCCCTGTACCCAGTCTCTGTCAGCCAGGAAGTGACCAGTTGATACGGCCTGATCAAAGGCCAAGCCACTGACTTGGGCCATTTGGCAACCTAGGGAATTTATGTAAGGAAGTTTGCAATTTGCACATTCTCTCTACCTCCCCATTTTGTTAGTGTCTATAAATTCCTGTATCTATGTTTCTGAGCTTTGTGGTCACAGAATGAAAGGATGAACAAAGGGGATCTTTTCTATACTCATATTTGTGTAAAATAGGGTCAGATGTGTGAAAACACAAAACCCACGCACATGTTCTGTTTCTGGGCTTGTAGAGGTTGACTTTTCTGCATGACATGAAGAGTTGGAACGTCCACAGAGCATCTATTTGCGTACCACCAGGTTCTAGTGACTAAATCTCCTTTCACTCGTTGTGGTTTTTTGTTTGTTTTGTTTTTTTGTTTGTTTTGTCTTTTAGTTCAACTTCAGAAGACAAAAAAACAAGTGTTCGTTGTACTTGAGAATCTTAAGAAAGTAGCTCATTCTGCTTTCTAAGATGCCAGATCTCTTGATGCGTAACTTTTCTATTCGTTTTACAGTGGAAGATTGATGATAAGCCTGTAAAAATTGATAAATGGGATGGATCCGCTGTGAAAAACTCTTTGGATGATTCCGCCAAAAAGGTACCTTTCTTGTGAGGCATTCTACCGGTGGGTAGAAGATGTGTCTCCTGGAGGATCTTTTTCTTCTCTTCTTTGGGGTGACCTTGGTTTTCAGTGTTAGAGGATGAGCCAGAAAGCAGTTTTTAAAGTTATCATAGATTTGCTAGGGGGGAGTGTGTTAAAACATAAATGCTGGGTATCTCAAGAAAAGTGATAATCCATTGCTTTCAGATTAATTGGCTTAGAGCAGAGAAGCTTGAGAAATGGAACATTTGTCTGTGATGAGTCCATTTTAAAAGAGAAAAGAGGGTGCTGGAGAGATGACTTAGCAGTTAAGAGCACTGTCTGACCCAGGTTGATTCCCAGCTACTCACATGGCAGCCAACAACCATCTATAACTCCAGTTTGAGGGGATCTGATGCCTTCTGACTTTCACAGTGTATCACATGGGTGCACTTACACACACACAGGCAGTACACTCATACACATAAAAGAAAAATAAATAAAATATATTTTTTAAAAAAGAAAATTTTAACTATATCCAATGAGGAAAGTTGAAAATTTAAAAATTAAATAAGGAATTGATAAACTTTTTCTCTGGGACTCTTTAAAGATGGTTTGAGTCTTAGTTTAGAGCAGTAAGATGACACCAGTTGGAGAGAGCTTGTCCTAGTTTTTCTCCATTGCTGTGGCAAAATACTCGACCAGTACCGACTTGGGGAGGAAAGGGTTTATTTTATTTTACATCTCCCAGGTCACAGTTCTCAGGGAGCCCAAGGTAGGAACTCAGGCAGGAACCTGGAGGCAGGAACTGAAGCACAGGCCATGGAGGAACGCTGCTTCCTGGTTTGCTCTCCTGGCCCCTCCTCAGCCTGCTTCCTTATGCAGCACAGCACAGTCCCACCTGCCCAGGGGTAGCACCACCCACAGTGGGCTGTCCCCTCCCACATCACTCAGCAATCAAGAAGATGCCCCACAGACATGGCCACAGGCCAGTCCTATGGAGACAGTTCCCCAATTGAGGCTCCCTCTATCCAAGTGTGTCAAGTTGACACCAAAGCTATCCAGCGCAGAGCTGTTAATTCATAACATGACTTTCTGTAGTGGAAATCAAGAATAAGGCAGTAATAGGAGGCATTCCTGTTACCTCGAGTCCTTCTTCTCTCTAGGTACTCCTGGAAAAGTACAAGTATGTGGAGAATTTTGGTCTAATTGACGGTCGCCTCACCATCTGTACCATCTCCTGTTTCTTTGCCATAGTGGCTTTGATTTGGGATTACATGCACCCGTTTCCAGAGTCCAAGCCAGTTTTGGCTTTGTGTGTCATATCATATCCTTTATTTATACTCAGGCTTGCTTTTAAGTAACAGTTTTTTAAAATATCTGCTATTAACTCTTTATTTTTGCTTTCCACAAAAGCTTTCATTTTAGGGCCTGCTAATGTTAGAATTTAACATTAAGAGCTGTGTCTATAAATTTATGTTGTGTCATTGAAATTTGAGGTCTAATAAGGTTATTTTATCTAGAATGTAGTTATTAACTATGAACACTTAATAGAGAAACACCACCGAATGCTAGTGAGGCCCAATTCTTCCCTCTTCGAGCCCATTAGACTTTTCCCAGTAGACCAGGCTGCTTTAAGCCATTCATTCTAGACTGTTGGAAAAGCACTGGATTCTAGAAGTTGAGGTTTATTGGGTATTTTCCCTTGAAATACCTGGGAGGTATTTCCCTGGGAGGTCCTGAGCATATCATGTGAGTTCGTCCTGTGTTCCAGTGGAATTGAGTACCCCTTCCTGAATGACATGGTGCAGGTTTGAAATCCAAGGTGTTTGAAATCTTGTGATAATGAAAAAGAAGAAATTCACTTTCCTGAGATTATCTCTAACTTACAAATGTAGGTGATACTCATTTAGAATTCTTAAAAAGAGGGAATGGGATGATGGTCATGGTGGCAAACACTTGCAATTCCAGCTCCCAGGAGCCTGAGTAGTCAGGATGATCCTCAGTTCTAAGCCAGCTAGGGCTACCTAGCAAAACCCTGTCTCATTTAAAAAATGAAAAAAGAGGGATGGGGGATGGCTCAGTTGGGAACCCCAGCACCCATATAATAAGCTGGGCACAGTGGCACCATCTGTGCTCCCAGTGCCAAGAAGGTAGAGATGGAGGATCCCAAGGTCAGCTGGCGAGCCATTCTGCCTGAATCAGCGAGCTCTAGGTTCAGTGAGAGGCTGTCTCAAATAATAAGGTAGAGAGTGACAGAAAACACCCAATGTTGACCCTCTGGCTTCCATACACACATGCATGTATATGCATATACAATGTGCACACATATGAACGCATAGACACACATACACTACGCACAAATGAAAATAGGGAAAAAAAAAAAAGGGTGGGAGATTTTACAATGCATTTGGTATGTAATGCCAGTAGTCCCCAGATTAGAAACGTTCAATTTAAGATTTCTCAACTTTGTGATGGCCTGAAAGAGTGTCCATATACCCATTCCGGTTTTCGTTTTCATTATAGAAGTCAATAAATGACGTCATTCTATTCAGCATATTGTTATGCTGTTGGCTATATATTAGATGGTTTTGCCCAATTGCAGGCTAATAAAAATGTTCTGAGCACATTCAAGGAAGGTGAGGCTAATTCATCTATGATGTTTTGTAATACGGTGTATTAAATGCATTTCTTTACTTACATTTACAGAATATCACTGTAAGTTGAGAATTTCCCCTCTCCTTTTATGATAATTTAGAACTATAAATGTTAACATAACTTGATTATTTCTTGATACTGAATACCAAAAAAACTTATTATAGTCTTAATTACAAAATTTATATATATTCATAGTAATGATTTCTTTGTGGTCCTCCATACTCTCACCCTCTCCCCAGTCCATTTACATATAACTGCTTTTCACTTTATTTTTAACTAAAAGAATTTTTTTTGGTTTGGTGAGATTGTTTGGGCTGTCAAGCCTAATGACTTGAGCTTGAACTCTGGAGCCTATAAAGTAGAAGGAAAGAACTGTAAGTTGTCCTCTGATCTTTACACATATGCTGTGACACACATATACATCCTGGTCCCCCAAAATACATTTTTTTTTTTTTTTTTTTTTTTTTTGAGACAGGGTCTGCTAGTAGCCCAGCGGGACGGGACCTCACTATGTAGACCAGGCTGGCCTTGAACTCACAAAGATCCACCTGCCTCTGCCTCCCAAGTGCTGGGATTAAAGGTGTGTGCCACTACGCCCAGCTATACATAAATTTTTTAAAACTTAAATATATAATGGAGCACTTCCATATTAGTACATGTAACTCTACCGCTACCTAAAATATGTTTTAAAACTCTATTTTGGGGGACTAGAGAGATAGCTCAGCAGTTAAGAGTGCTTGCTTCTCTTGCAGAAGATTGGAGTTCGCCTTCCAGCACCCCTGTCAGGTGGCTCAAAGCCACCTGTAACTCTTGACTTCAGAGGAGGATGCCCTTTTCTGGCCTCCCACATTCATATGCACATACCCCCCCACACACACACCAGACACACATATACACATACTTTTTAAAAATAATCTTTAAAAAAAAATTCAAACTTCTAAGGGCAGTTAGCAAGCCATTTAATAAAGTGCCTGATTAAAAATGCTATTATCCAGGTGTGTGGTGGTACACACCCCAATCCTAGCACTGAGGAGTCAGAATCAGGTGAATCTCTGAGTTGCAGGCCAGCCAGGGCTATATAGTAAGATCATGTCTCAAAAAACGGTATTAATTCAAATTGATAGTTCGCAGACTTGGAACAACTGATTCTTGTGTCTTCAGTAATCAACTTAATACTAGTATGAATTTTTCACTGTTGAGACAGTTCAAAAGAATATAAGAATATACTGTAGGTTCTAGAGACCATTCTCAAGGAGATTCCAAAGAGATTTGAACAGTGACAGCAACCTTATTACGTATATGGGGTCTCCAAAAGAACTTTGATGATACTTTAGTTAAATTTGTTTAAAATAAGACATAGTGGCTTCACCATTAATAGTGGGTACTGCTGTTGCAGAGGACTCAAGTTCACTTCCCAGGACCCATATCAGGTGTCTCACAACTGTCTGTGACTCCAGCTGCAGAGGATCTGACATCTTCTGGCCTCTGTAGACACCTGCTCTCATATGCTCATACTCATATAAGACATATACACATATACACACATAGCCAGGTGTGGTGGCGCACACCTTTAATCCCAGCACTTGGGAGGCAGAGGCAGGTGGATCTCCATGAGTTTGAGGCCAGCCTCATCTACATAGTGAGTTCCAGGCCAGCTGGGCTACTGGGAGACCCTGTCTCAAAAAAAACAAAAACAAAACAAAAAAGATGTAGACACACATAAATGTAATTAAAAATAAATTTTTTTAAATTGTGCAATGGGTGTTTTTTTTTTTCATACAAACCATTTTTTTATTTAATAACCACATGATTAGAAGAAGCATTTCAGTACAGCTTTAACATAGTCAATAGCAGTTTCCAGAGCAATGCTGTAAATTTTTAGGTTCATGGTTGAATTAATACAGCTATACAATATTGAACTCAGTATAGACCCTGTAAGACATAAAATTGAATGAGTTTTTAACCTTTAAAAAAGATCTCCATTTCGTTTTAAAATATGCTGTTTCCTACAGACTCATTTTTAACGCTACTAATGCTCAGATGTTTGCACGTGTCTCTAATCTCTATGTATCTGATTATTGCTAGTCAGACTTGGTTACGCTCGGAACCTTGGCATCCAACTATGGATATAAAGTCATCAGGTAGATTTCAATGGTAATGTTTATCACCTCTACTAATTAACATGAAGTAAAATTTTTATGCTTCCTCCTCAAATACGTCATTTTTTTATTTGTTGATTTGTGTGTGTGTGTATATCATACGTCCCAAACAATCTTATTCATCTATATACCCACTTCCCAAATGGCACCCTCCCATAGCCTCCCCCCTCCCCCACTGGAGCCCATATACTCTGTCATCCCTGTTACTATCCACTGTGTTGTCAGTGCCCCCAGCCATTCCCCAGCGCTTGCCCATCTGCTGAATCTAGTCAGCCTGTCCAGAGATCCTTGTTTTAGGAAGATCAGCTGTTCCTCATCTAGCAGCAATCAGTTGTCAATATTCCTTTAAATAAGATTGGGGCCTGCTGTTCATTTTCCCAGTTCTATGCTGGATTACTCTCTCGGAGTCTTCTGGGCCACCCTGGCCAGTAACTCAAAGGAAGGTATCTCCTATCTGGCATTGTTTCTTGTTATGTAGCCTTTAGCTATACATGTGGACTCTTAAAAAATTATATTGACTCCTTTAATCTTTGGTTATACTTTCCTTTTGGGTGTTTAAGACCCTACAATTGGCCCAGATAAACCAATTTATTTTTATTCTTAAGGTCGTTTGAGGATCTGTTCCTCAGGGGTCACATGGGCTTGGGAAGAGCCCCTGTCTCCTTTCTTTTACTAGTTCCTTCTATGTGGAGATAAGTCAAAGGTCCTACTCGACCATGGCTGGCTTCACTTGGAAGCATGGAGGAAATGTTTCCTCTGTGTTGACCCTACTCTTTGGACACTGGACACTGGTTCAAGTCCATCTCTTGGGGTCTCCATGGCCCCCTTGATCAAGAGGACAGGTGACTCACCACAGTCATAGGACATTTTGAGAGATGCTTTTAGTCCCCTGGAACTTAGTCAACCTAGGAGGGCAAGGAGCAAACACTGTCCTTTATGTCCCTCTGACCAAATTAGTATAGGCCTCAAAGTATGGCTGTTAAGCATCCAAGAAAGTTAGTTCCACCAGCCTGGTACTTTTAATTACCATGTGCCATGTAGGTAAAGCTTGGGCAAAGGTCAAACATTCTCAGATAAACCTTGCCTAGACATATATTATATTCTTTGATCTAGTTGTATGTATAATTTGTCAGTAGGTTGTTGGGTTCCCTCTGGTTTTTTAAAAACTAGGCATTATTTAACTCTCACATTGTCTAACCCTTCCATGGTTTCTCCATTTAAGGTACCCCCATTTTTCCCATTTCTCCCTTACTAATACCCTTCTCCTATGGTCCCCCCTCTCTTGAGCTCCTTCTTTCCCTTTATCCCCTAGATTCCTTGTATACCCTTCTCTCCCCCCTCCCTTAAACTAACCCAATTTTTACCTCTATCTCCCTTATTAAGCCTGTTTCCTACTGTTCTTCTCTTTCCAGTTCTTTATTTTCCTTTACCTCCCTGTTTCCTTTCCATTATCCTGGTTCCTGTAGTTATGTCTGGGTACATAATCACTTACCAGGATTTGGTACTAGGATCCCCATATGAGGGAGAACATACGGCATTTTTTTTTTCCTGAGTCTGTGTTACTTCACTTAGTATAACAGTTTCTGGTTCCGTCCTTTTACCTGCAGATTTCATGATTTTTTTTCTTTACTCCTGAGTAGAACTCCATCGTATAAATGAACATTTTCATTATCCAGTCATCAGTTGAGGGACACTTAGGTTGCTTCTATCTCTTAGCTATTATGAAAAGAGCAGCAACAAACATGGACGTACAAGTGTCTCTGCAATAGGATGAGTTCTTTGGGTATATGCCAAGGAGTGGTATAACTGCGTCAAATGGTAGGTTCATTGTAGTTTTTGAAGAGTTCTCCACACTGCTTTCCATAAGGGTTGAACAAGTTTACAGTCCCACCAGCAGTGGATGAGTGTTTTAAAAAATAAATTTTAAAGAAAAGCATGATCCTGTGTTCATGCTTCATATATAATGCTAGTGACTACCACGGTAAATGGCTTCTGTGTGCTATATGACACTATATACATACATACACACACACACACACACACACACACACACACACATATATCATCATGACAATTGCATTTTTGTTCGAGGTTTGAGAATGGGTCTCAACAGACTAGCCTTGAACTTGCAACAGTCCTTCTGGCTCAGCCTCCCAAGTGCTGGGATTATAGGTGTGCACCCATTTGCCTGGCTTCATGACAATTCTAAAAGTTCAGTATCATTCCCATTGTAGAGATAAGAATACTTAGGGAAGAAAACAGTTTAGTAAATGCTGAAATTCAAATCCAGGACTATCTTTAACTTCCAAGTCCGTATACTTTACATTAGACTTCCTGTTTCTCTAGTTTATAAACTTTAAACATGATATTGTGGATGTAATACTCCTAGCTAGTTTCTGAAGTACTGTAAGTTGTAGAATATCATAGTTAATGCTATCAAACCAATGTAATAAATCTGCTTTGTATCTCATGGTAGACTAATGTAAAGTCACTTTTCTTCTTACAACTCTTAAAATGGGTTGAGCCTGATCAAGTCTGCTGTGATTAGTTGCTTTTTAAAATAGAGAAATAAGCATAAATTAGAACAAAGGCTTGACAGACTAGGTAACGAGCTAGTCTTAGACCTCTTGACCTTCATTGTAAAAGATGAGAGAACCTGTTTGTATCCTGTACCCTTTTTGCTCCTTTTTGAGGTATCTAGAAAATTAACTAGAGAGATAAAGATGAAAGGAAATAACCAATTTTTCAGTGCTTTTGCAGTAAGATAAAACTTATGGACTCTCATGGAAATTCTTGTGGTTCTTGTGTGTCAATTTTTGTTACTCTTCTTTTATTTTCCTGTTTGTATATTTTCCCCTTAACTTTATTTACTTATTTTGTGATGATGGGGATTCTGACCATATATACCTCATATAAGGAGAAGAGCATCTTTCTTGTGGCCCACAGAAAAGATCCTACAGGGATGGATCCTGATGATATTTGGCAACTATCCTCCAGTCTCAAAAGGTAATGACTATTCTTACAAATTGTTAACACCTAGTGCAGGATTTGCCTTGTTGTTATTAACAGTATACTGCTGTATGTCTACACTGTGCACCATCCTAGTGCTAGTCATGTAAAATGAAGGAGGGATGAATGCTCTAGAAGGCTTTTCCTAGTACTGTAGTTCTAAGATTCTTTTATCATAGAAGATAACTTTGAGGGTATACTGGGCTACAAAGTACTTTGGTGGCAGACTTGAGAAATTATTCTTTTTTTTTCCCCCCATCATGGCCAGTTAACAAAGGCCAAAGGTGGGGCAGGTGAGATGGCACAGTGGTTAAAAGTGCTTGCTGCTCTTATGGAGGACCCAGGTTAAGTTCCCAGCACCCACATGGCAGCTCATAACCACTTGTAACTCCAGTTCCAGCCAATGTTCTCTTCTGGTCTCTGAGGGCTCTTGCACGCACATGGTGCACATAAAGTCACACAAGCAAACACACATATACATAATTTAAATAAAAAAATAAACGTTTTTTTTTAGGCCAAAGATAAGAGGTCATTAGACCAGGTATCTTTAAAGAGCCTCTTTTGAGCTTCTGTGTCTTCTGCCTTCACTTGAATGCACTCAGGAATCTCTGGAGTATTGCTCTTTACAGCTCAAGAATTAACAGAATTGGGGCTGGAGAGATGGCTCAGCGCTTAAGAACACTGGTTGTTCTTGCAGAAGACCCAGGTTCGAATCCCCGCAACCACATGGCAGCTAACAACTGTCTGTAACTCCAGTTCCAGGGGATCCAACAGCCTCTTCTGACCTCAGAGGGCATTGCACAACACGGGTGCACTTACCTACATGCAGGCAATACATGCATATACACATAAAATTAAAAAAATAATAATAAAATTATATATATATAAAGAAAACAGAATTTAGTCTTTTTCTGAACTTTGGTGGGTATACCTTTGTATAGCAGACACGCAGATGTTCATAGGTCTACAGAACTAGGTTATGTTCTAGTGAATTTGTTTCTAGTTACTCAGCTTGGTAAATCATGTAAACTAAAATTTAGTGAGGTAAAAAATGACTCCTCAGAGGTATTAGAAAGATGAAATGCCAGTTACGTTCATCATTTATTATATATTAGATATTGTGCTAAATGTATTACCTCATTTAAACCTTAGAACACCCATTTACAGATAAGAGCATGAACCCAAAGATTAATTAATTCAGCTCAGAAGTGGTAGAGTCGGATTTCTGGCCCAAGTTGAACACAGAATTTATTCATTTAGTCATTAACTTAAAGTACATGGTATGCTTTCTAGCACTTTAGCAGGCCTTGAAATTATAATTATTTACATAAAAGGTAATTCTCACATCAGCACTCGTCTCTCTCGCTGCCAGTTTGTAGAATAGACTGTGAGAAGGAGAAAAGATTTTCAACCTGATGTTGCAGCTGAGTTCTTGTTAGTTCTCAGCAGGGCCCAGCTGTTCTTTGGCCTCAGCCATTAAAAGTCTGTGCTTCCTACCAGGCCACTTAAGCAGAGTTGCATAATTCTAGAATCCAGCAACACACTGATTTTGTTATTTTCATCCAGTTTGTTTGATGCTGCTGCTGCTGCTGATGATGATAATGGGGGCACACACCACATTGTTAGTGTGCAGGTCAGAGAAAGCCCTTCAGGGGTCAGTTCTCTTGCACCATGGGATCCAGGAGTCACACTCAGGTTTTCAGGCTTGCCTGGCAAGCACTTTCATCCACTTAGTCATCTCACTATCCCTGACTTGTTTTTTTATCAGCTTTATTGAGATAAAATTCACCTACCATTCCATTCACCCATGTAAATTGTAGTTTAGTGACTCAGAGTCGCACCTGTTACCACAATCATAAGACCATTTTATCACCTCAAAACGAAGCCCTGTACCCTCCAGGTTTTACTTCCTGTTTCCTCATTTCCCCAACCTTAAGTAACCACCATTCTGCTTTCTTTCTGCATCAGTGTCTCTTACAGGCACTTCTGTGAATGAAATGAAAAAATATATGGTCTTTTGTGATAGGCTTCTTTCATTTAGCATAATGTTTTCTTTTTCTCTCAAAACTTAATTTTATTTATCTGTTCTTTGAGAATTTCATACATGTGTATAATAAATAATCATGTCTATCTCCTACTCCCTCCCCAACTTCTCCTAGACCTCTTGTCACACCCCCCTCCCAACTTCATATTTGCTCTCTCTTTTTTCTTTGTAATTATAACTGACTGAATCCAGTTAGTGCTGCCTGCATGAGTATAACGCCATGCACTGGAACACAGACAATCTACAAGAGGCCTCACCCCTTAAAAAAATGATTCTCCTTCTCCCAGCAGTCATCAGCTGCCTATAGCTCCCAGCTAGGAGTGGGGCCCTGTGAGCTCTTTCCTCTCCATGCTGGCAAGTTGACTGGCCTGAGCTGTGCAGGTTTTGTACAGGCTGTGAGTTCCTAGGTACAATGGCTCTGTCATGTCCAGAACACACTACTTTGGAGCATAGCATAATGTTCAAGGTTCATCCCTATTGTGGCGTATATCAGTACTTTAATCCTTTCAGTTATCGACATTTTGTTTGCCTGTTTCAGTTGATGGGCTTTTCACTTATTTTCACTTTTTGGCTTTTATGAATGAATAAACATTTTATGAATGAATAAACATTTGTGCCTGGGTTGATGGGGATCTCTTAGGTAATGAAATCACTGGATCATGGTTACTCTTTTTTTATTGTTTGAGGAATTGTCAGTCTATTTCCCAAAATGGGTATACCATTTAAAATCCCACTAAAAGTATATAAAAGTTCTGAGTTTTCTACATTCCTGGCTAACTTTTTGTCAGCTATTATATTGTTGGTAGAGAATCATAAACTGGCCTTGCTCTGTTCTCCCTCTCCCCTTGGAGTGACTTCGTAGGTTAACATAGTGCCTTATTCTGATGTCTTCTGTAAATGCCAGGTCATATGCTGGGAAATGGCAAAATTTCACATACTCTCAGTTGCTGTCTTCAAACTTGCCACAAGTTATGAAGCTCATGTGTAAAAAGTTTTCAATTCAGCTGGGCGTGGTGGCACATGCCTTTAATCCAGCACTCAGGAGGCAGAGGCAGGCGGATCTCTGTGAGTTCAAGGCCAGCCTGGTCCATATAGTGAGTTCCAGGCCAGCTGAGGCTACAGGGATACCCTGTCTCAAAAAGGCAAAAAAAAATAAGTTTTCAATTTGTTTGCTCTTCAGCACAATGTCAAGTATAAACTTTTCCAGCATGTAAAGCTGTTCTCCAGTGGCATTTCCATACCCATTGCAGAACACATTTTTACTCTAAAATATTGTGGAATTTGCAGTTTGCCAAGTTCTGTGTGACTCTATATCTTTAAAGAGTCTTCTTCTTTCTCCCTCAACTCTTTACTTTTCCTAACGTAACTTCTACTTGCCATCTTTTTTTTTTTCTTTCTTTTTGGTCTTTTTGAGACAGGGTCTCTCTGTAGCCCCAGCTGTCCTAGAACTCACTATGTAGACCAGGCTGACCTTGAACTCAGAGATCCGCCTGCCTCTTCCTCCCGAGTGCTGGGATTACAGGCATGCACCACCACTCCTGGCAGCCATCTCTTTTGAGAAGGCTTCCCTGATATGTCTTAGTCTAAGTTAGTCTTAGTTATTCTCAAGAACATTTTATGCTTATGCCCATGGTCACTTGGATCGGTGAAGTTGACTTTTCTGTATTTCCTCCTAGGCTCGTCCTCTCCTCCCTAGTGTAAAGCTCCTTTACCATTCACTATGCAATAGATACCAAGCCCAGACGTGTCTCATTTACCTCTTTGTCCCTCAGACCTAGCTTAAGGTCTGAAATAGCATAGGTATATCAGAAATGTTTTATTGTATAAATGATTGAAATGAACCTGGCCCTGGCGGTAGCTGTGACCTCCTAATTTGCAACCAAGTTATTGTCACATACCTGCAAAATCCCCTACAACCTACTCTCCTTTTGAATATGTCCTTTTTTAAAAAGTTTGTTCATATTGAAACATGCTCATAGCCGGAAGACATGTATTTCCTCTGCATACTACAAGTGGTAGCTGGTGCTGGTCTTGTAGCCTTTATTACCCTGGCAGCTGAGCTAGAGCTAGAGCTCCCCCTTCCTCCACTTCACTACTTCTGGTTCATCCTCAGCCCTCTTCCCTTACCCATTTTGAATTGTGCTTTGTTTTGCCACTTTTGTTCCTCCTCATTGCAGTTAAAAATGCAGAGCACCTCTTTTCCTTAAGATACTTCATGGCTCAGTGATACTCATCTCTGTCCTTTCATAAGTCTTAGTGATTTACATATCCAGGTAGATGATTATTGAAAATCCTGGTCTATTTTACTTACTGTCTTCCAAGCATCTTGTTTTCTACTGTGTCTTAAACATTTATTTTCACAGACACACCCTAGACATTGCTATTATACTGATTACTTTTAATCATTTCAGTGTTAAGTATCACACTGATTATTGATTGCCACTCTAGTTACTCTACTGTTCTTGTCCCAAGAGTTCTTCAGCCCCAGTGACATCTGTACTCCATCCAGCCTAGCACCTGTTCATTGCCTTTCTTCCCCTTCTTTATGTGGCTTCCATTCCATTGGAGGATCTTTCATACCTGATCCTCTGTTTCTGTGTTGAGAAGGCAGAGGCATTTAGAAGCTCCCAGTTACTCACCCCCTGCAGTGCCTATCTCTCGTTGCCTTCTTCCAAGTACCTCCTTTAAGCCTCCCTCCCCTCCAGCTGCCCTCTAGATTCTGCCCCTTCTTTGATGTTTCCCTCTGCTAGGTCGTTTCCCTCTGACATATGAGCATTTTGTAATTTCTCCTAACCAAAAAAAAGTTAGTTTCCCTTTTCCTCCCTCGTGTTCTTCTTTCTCTGTCACTGTGGCCATTGACTCCCTCTCTCTTCCTTCCCTCCGTAACCCCTATTATTACTTGTACCTGTTCCTACCTTCCCTCACCTTACTTTCCAGTGGTTACTGTTTCCTGCTTTGGGTTTTTGCCTAGTCTTCTAGGATACCATGGTCTTCTACGTTTCTAATTACCTTGGTGTTTTTTTCTTCCATCACCTCTCTTTCTTTAAAATTTTCCTAATTGGAAGGTGCCACCAGGGCTTGTTCCTAGAACTACTTTTCTCTCATGAAATCTTAATGCCGATTTTCAAGGCTTTATATATTGTCTATGTAGTAAGATCTCTAAATCTACATTTTTATCCTAGACCTCTTCTCCAAACTGTAGATATAGCCTGCTTTCTATCTGACATTGGATCCTAATGGGCATCTCAGTTACCTTGTCTAAAACTTCTGTCCAGGCCTGCTCTTCCCTCAGTTTTCCTTTCTCAGTAAGTGGCAGTCCCCTCCTTAGAAAAGTTGGGAGTCATTTGGACTCCAGAGTTCTGCTCATTTGCCATCTCCATTGCTACCGTCTTCACTCACTCAGGTTGCTGTAAGGATGCTCTGATGGACCCTGAAGCTGCTCTCCCTGTTCACAGACCAGTGACAGTAGAGCAGGAAAAACAACCCTTCAAAAACATAAGTCACATCAACTTAGTCCTCAGTTCGAAATCCCTCCCCCATTCAGTAAAAAGGCTGTATTCCTAGGGACTGCTTACCGGTCCACATATATGCAAACATACCCTTCATTTCCAGCAACCCATCCTCTCTCACTTTATTCACCTTGTTCTTTTTCTGTTCTTCAAATGGTCCAGGAGTGTTCTTGTCTCAGGGTCTTTGTACTTTCTGATCCCTCTGCCTAGAATATTCTTCAAATAGTTTATTCTCACCTTCACTAGGGTTCAGTAGTTAGAACAGGAAAGATAGGCCTGCACTTGGGAATCATAGCTAGTATCTTGAAGACTGAAGACCGGAGACCTGTGCTCTGTGTGCATTTGTGTGTGTGTGTCTCTATCACCAGTGCATTCTTCAAAAACATTTAGTGCTATATTGTTACTGATTGAGTCTTTTTGTTTTTAGTAAGTTTTTAAAGTTATACAAAGTAATGCTTTTCATTGTGCAATTTCATAGTATGCGCTTACTGGTCCTTCTCCCTCCTCTCCTGCTACCCTCCTGCTGGTCCCCTTGTTCCCCTCTAATAGCCTCCTTTCTGCCTTCCCATGTATTCCACTACTCTTCCCCCACCCTTAAGATCTCTTGGTACCTTCCAGTCTGTTTGGTTTTTGATTTGTTATCTTTGTCCTGATGTTTAGGTTCGATGACAAGTACACCCTGAAGCTGACCTTCATCAGTGGGAGAACAAAGCAGCAGCGGGAAGCTGAGTTCACCAAGTCCATTGCTAAGTTTTTTGACCACAGCGGGACATTGGTCATGGATGCATATGAACCTGAAATATCCAGACTCCATGACAGTCTTGCCACAGAAAGAAAAATAAAATAACCCATTCTAAGGCAGCTCTCTGTCTGCTGGATCATGCTGAATTACTGGTGGGTGGGGGGAAGAAACAGAAAACTTAAACTGGGTAAAGAATGTAATGCTAAAAATGTCCCTGTTTTTCCCTGAAAATTTAGTCCATTCTGGATAAATAGGATTTCCTAGCACACAAATGAGAAGTTGGAGCTCTGGTGTCTAGCTGTAGCTTCTGGGTCTGCTGATTGTGGTTTTTATTTGCCTTTGGAGAAGCATTTTTTGTATTTACTAGACTTTATATAGCATAGCTTTGTGCCATGCAGCATTTGAACACTCGGTTCTTAAGAACTGTCAACCTCGCTGGGCACATTAGTGCACACCTAAAATCCCAGCTCTTGGGAGGCTGAGGAAGGAGGATTGTGAGTTTGAGGCCATCCTGAGCCACATAGGAAGACCCTGTCCTGGAGGGGTGGTTGTTTATTTTTTCTGACTTTGTGTTAATCCCTGCTTCAATAACTATTGCCTTGAATTCAGGATACAACTTCTTGTGTATGACAGCTTTCCTTCACACACCGTTTTTGTGGGTGTGTGTATATACATAT